CTACACCAACAGAAAAGTAACTAATATACCACAGCTGGTCACAGGCTCTGCAAAAGACTAAGAAGGAGCTAGATGCCTAGTTTTTTTTCCAAGCAGGGTGCTTTAACCAGCATGCACAGCATATGCATGCAGAATAGCCTTGTTCCTGGCCCTACAAAGCAGAGACCTGGTCTTGGCAAGTCCCTAGAAGTAAAAACAACCTCTCTCTGTGGAGGAACATAAAACAACTACTTAATTTGGAAGGGCCTGTACAGGCTCCAGACATGGCATAGATGCACTGTATTGTATTTCTTTGCTATACACCAGGTTCCCATTCACTACAGCCACACTAGCCTAATAATGAATACAGCTGGTAACAGTAGATCATGGGTCAGTAGTGGGGGTTTTCTGCTGGGATGACAGCACATGGAGCGCAGGACTTGTGATCTCATTTGGGTTTTCTTTTTTTTTGTAGAAGACAGGATTAAGAGGAATATAAAAAATTACACAGGAGAAATGTGTCTCTTTCCAAGCTGTATTTTTTTAAAGTATTTATTTCTTTTTTAGAGAGGCAAGACATCAGAAGGCTATCTTTCTCATATTCAGCAATAGCTGAACCCAACACAATGATAAATTACTTATCAGGAAGTATAAACTACATAAAATACCTGGCTATTTTACCACACATACAGTAATAGAAGAAAACCCTGCCTTGGGACTCAGGTGTTCATGAAGACACTTCTCTCACAAGACACCCCATCTTCAGGCAACAGGGGAACAACAATTGAAGCTCACTTCCTTCATATCCCCAAAATGAGGTATCCTGACCTAACGTGATCTCACAACCTGAAGTTGGGAAATCACAGTGAAAATCTGATCAGTCACCAGTTAAACCAGGATCTATTAATGGATGTGGTGGAAGCAAGGTCTTCTGCAGGAGTTTCAACTCAATTCTCATCAGTAGGATTATGAATATGAACTGCCTATACCTCAAAATACACACAGATGGCTTCCTTGCTATTTCATAGCCAGTCAAGGATCAGATCCCCAAAAGTGCACCTACCACCTGTGGCTCATAAAACAGCCCCACTAAGGAGATGCTGTGAGTCTACACATCTCTCAGATGTGGTGATGTGGCTGTTGTGCTGAATGCAACAAATGATTTGATGAATAACCACAGACAACAAGAACTCAATTAATTACTGCAGTACTGTGCAGGGACTGCAGTTTCTAAGAAAAAGGACTACAACTGCACTGATGGTAAGTAGATTAGAAGAGATGCTTTATATATTACACCAATTCTAACTGCATTTTCTCTGAAAGCAAATGTAACACCCAAGGCAGAGTATAAATCAGTATCAGAGCTAATGACAATTCAGATTCAGAGAGTAGCTGGGGTTTGTTTGACTGCTTATGAATATTTGAATACAATTCACACATTCAGAATTTCCCTAGGGAACCCAGATTCAGGATAATGAGGTCAGTGAAACATGTGCAAAGTTTATACAGACCTGTGACTTACTTATATATCAAACAGAAAGCTGACACTGCTTTATGATTAGTTTCTGCTGTGAAAGGAAAAAAAGTAATTCAAAGCACCTAATTTTTGTTTCTTAAATCTGTAAGAGGAGAACACTGACAGCTCTAAAAAATCCATCTCCGTATTTAAGACCATAATCAAAACACGCACTGAAGACTTTTACCAGCAATGCTATTACTCCACTACTATTGCAGGAAAGACAAAGTTTTCTTTAGGATGCAGAAGTGAAACCAAAAGATAAGTTTAAGGCTCTAGTCAATTTGTTCTTTGCTCAATTAATACCAAAATGTCCCCAAAGTTAATAATGTATCCAAGCTTTTCTACTACACTTACACCATTGCTGCCCTATTTCATGCAAGCTGAAGAAAGGGAGACAAACTTCCAGTTTCTTCTTCACAAGTTAGTTATTCTGCAGAGCAACAGCTTAACAGAAAAGCTGGCACAGCCAGAATCTAAAGAGCAGTTATGGGCCACCAGCAGCGACATGCCAACACTAGTTTATCTGCTAAATCCCAAACAACGCCCTTCCCTTTTGCTTAGAAAAAGGCCTGAGTGTTCAGTCAATATTGCCCACACGGGACGGGCCAGCCTCCAAAATACCACTGACTGCCTTGAAATAAGAAGCCTGAGTGAGGCTACCACAGTGCAGGAGGAGGATGGGAAGAAGTACAAGTGAAGAGAGCTCCCTTCCTCAGCCAAGCTCTGGGCATTTTTCTGTGCTCAGAACAGTGTGGCCTCCATCTCTCATCCAGCCTCCCTCAGTCCCTCTCCCGGCAACAGAGAGTTGGGGACAATAGAAGAGAGAAGCAGTTTTCATATTTTCTACACTGAAATGGGTGTGGAGCAATTCTAGGGTTTCTTCACAGAAACACATCAAAATCTTAGAGCAGCCCCAGCCTCCACTGTTTCTGCCATCCCTATAACAAAAGCCTGCACAAGGAGTCTTTATTCATATTAACAGTACTATTAACTGAATACGGGGTTGCTCATGGGTATATTTGCAAGATATAACCCCCAGGTCAGCAGTGCCCAACAAAAATCCATTGAGTTATAAAACATACAAAATGAGTATCAGGAATACCTTTGATGTTAATTACAGTATTATTAGACCTTATTATATTTCTGACCAATCCTTGCCCCTACCCAGTGCAGCTTTACTAATTAACGCCATTTTCTGAAAAAATGTATGTCACCATATCCTGACAAGTCTGTAACACCTCCGCAGGCAACAAAAGCAGCGTCAGTGGCTCATGGGGTGCTGACACATGCTTCCCTCTTTCCTTTTTCCCTTGGCACCTCTTGCTACACCTAACTTCAGGAAACAGATCACAACTGCCTTGGCACAATCCGCAATGCACCATCGGAAACCACACTTCAAGGATGAGTGGAGGGTAGGGAATTGCCCTCCTTCAGACCTTGCTCAAGACTACACACAAATAGCAAGAACTATTTCTCCATCACGTAGCTTTTACTTATGTGCCAGTAAATTATAACTATAAAGATACAATGAAAGTTCAAGATCTCTGCATGAAAACATAACTTCTCCTCCACGTACCTGAAAAAGATAAAAACTTCTTTCTAATCTGAATACGTAATTACTGTGCTTTGCCTGAAGTGGACAGAGTAGATTAAGTTTAGAGACTTCTTTGTGTAAAGTTTAGCAAGGATAAGCAGCCATGATTTTGTTTTTGTAGATGCTGGCTAATACGATGATTATATTTTCAATTCCAGACTGCAGCAATGTCGAAAACAAGCAGTCAACTGCTTTACCAGATTTTACCAGATTTTCTGCAATGACTGCCCTCAAATGCCTTACAGAAGTGTTTGCTTTTGAACAACTTAGTATTTGCAAAACCCACAGGTGTTTCCTACAGCAAACAGAAGAAGGGCCAAAGAAACATTGCATGTATGTTGGCAATCTTTTACTTGAAAGCAAGTTGCTACTTTAAGAAAGGCTGCTACCATTAACTCTCTACAGGCATGTGTGATTTTTCAGTCACACCGCATATAAGCCACTCAATCCTCTAGAAGGTTCTCTTAGTAATAATATATTAATATTTAGCAATATCCCAAGCTGAGTGATCAGTGTGCCTTTTTGGGTACTTCAGTCATCTTTTCCCAAGATAAATAAGCTATGCAGCAATTCCTTTGTACTTAACTTTGGGAGGAAGGGATCAATGACAGTGAGGCTAACATGATCCAGTGCTATTACTTTTAGAATGATCTTCAGACAACATATGTGCTATTCAGTTTATACCTTCTGACTCTGAGGACCATCACCTTCCTCAGAAATGCCATCTTCCTGCTGCTCATAAGCAGGGCCTCCCAGAAGCCTTATTCTCTTCTCACATTGCTTCTTTGCCACCGTCAGCTGATTGATATACCTCTTCACATTGCGAGCCCTCAGTAGGTCAGCTTTCATTGCTGCAGTTTCTTTTCCTTTTGAATCTAAGAATAAAGCAAATCAGAGACGGGCTTTTACAACATGAAAACATTATCACATCATTGCCTCTGTGACTTGCCTGATCAAAGCATTTGTCATTCATTAAGCAACTATGCACATGAGCACAGATACTGCAAAGTTTCTATTTGAAACAGAATGACAATTTTGAAACATTCTCCAATGATACCTCAAAGGTTCATATAAACCAGTTCAGAAAAAAAAATCCTAATTCAAGTTACCTACAGCCATGGAGTACAATAACACATGAAGATGTATCTTATTGAGCGTAACACTGACTGACTAGGAGTCATTTGGGACTGGATTCAAGCCTCCAGCCCAGTAGGACAAGTTTCCCACACATCTCATTTGCAAATCCATATTTCTTGAGCCTGATGTGAACAGCAGATCATGCATTTTCTCCTCCAGACAACATTGACCAAAGCTCACTTAACATAGTGAGATGACTTAAGGAAAAAAAGCTTACAATGCCACATCAAGACTGCACAGCACTGTTAAGCAGTGAAGTAATATGAAGATGACAGCCACTTGAGTAAGACTTGGTAATAAAAGGTGTAATGTTTTTGTATTCTACATTCCAGCCTCTTCAGTTAAGTTACCAGAGCCTAAACAAAGCAGCAGCAAATAAAGCAGATTCAAAAACCTGTTGCACTGAAATAATTCCTAGTTTATACCTGCAGGATGCAACTGATTCACATTTATGCAATGGTTTTATTTTCCTCTTGCTCAATAATAATACTCCCGCTTCTATTGGCTGCAACCAGAGCACAGTAGAAAAGAATTTGGCTTGTATTTGACTTCGGATTAACTGATTGCTCCAGGATACGTAATTGAGATCTATTCTACTATGTTTTTGAAATACCAAATGCTAGTAAAATTATATAGATTATAATAGTGTTCCATTTTCAAAACAGTTGCTGGAAAGAAACAACCAGACTGGTAGGTTTGTGAATGCATATAGAGGAAAAGGAAATCTCTTAGGAATTACTTAAAATAGGTATTTTAAACACATTTCTAATACGTCAAGGTACCTTCTCTTTTTAGGACTGTTTTCATCCTTTTATTTCCCCCTCAAAGCCACATGTAACTACAGCATGTGACCTTACGTTTTGTCATTTGTGTACTGAAGGACAAGTCAAGGAACATAGAGCTCACTGAAATTCTACATGTACTGTGAATACAGATATTCTCCCAATGTTTTTTCCTATATTTTTCATCCTACTTTATTTACTGTATGTATGTGTGTTGGCAGGGAATCTTCCTAATTGAATGACTATTAGTATTTTAGTGGATAAGTTTAATTTGCATCTGACCTGCCATATAATAGTGAACTACAGAGATGATACTCACTGAAGCAAGTGATAAAACGACTTTACCATGAAAAAAAAAAAAAAAAAAAAAACCCCTTCTTTCCCCGGGTGTTTTTTCCCCAAGGGAAATATTTTTCATCCTACTTTATTTACTGTATGTATGTGTGTTGGCAGGGAATCTTCCTAATTGAATGACTATTAGTATTTTAGTGGATAAGTTTAATTTGCATCTGACCTGCCATATAATAGTGAACTACAGAGATGATACTCACTGAAGCAAGTGATAAAACGACTTTACCATGAAAAAAAAAAAAAAAAAAAAAGCCATCTGCTGTCCTGGCATGTTATCTCCACAGGGAAGTCAGCAAGGCATTTAATTTAGTGATTCAGTTCCCTGACCAGAAGTACCAGTATTAATGAGAGAAAAAGAAAGGAGACCAAAAAAACCCAGGAAAAGACCTTAAGGACAAAATAGCTCTACTCAATTTAAAACATTTACAGCTAATAAAAATGCATGGACAGTAACTTAAAGTGAAGACTAAAACCTAACAGTTCCCCTACTACACTTGTCTCTAAGATGATTTTTAAAGGTTCTCAATTCTCTCAATAGTATAAATAGTTTAAGCTCAAAATGCATACCTGAAACCTCACACTTCACAGTGCTACGCAGTGCTTGCAGATGTCTCACAATAGTCCACTTTTTACTGAAAACAAGGCATTCTTGGAAGGTTTTCAAAATAAGCATGTCTGCTTTACTTGAAGTCTTATCATCCTGTGATTGTAGCAGGCCTCCAGGGAAGACTAATTAAGCCCTACATCTCACCTGCTTCCAGTGATTAATTACTTTTTTAGCAAAAATCCTTCAAAAACATTTTCCTCACTCAGCACTTCACATGGAGTCACTCCATGTAGGAAACACTCTAAGCAGAGCAATGAAGATCACACTGCCAGCCTGCTCCTGCTCCATCGATAAACGGGACTAGTCACCATCAAGTCTGGCAGTGATGTCTTTTGATAAATAAACAAGAGGCTGATGAAGAGCAGGCCAGCACAGAGAATGGCTAACATGCTGCAGTGCAGGAGAGACTGCTTAGAAGGGTGGACAAACACTGAACTTTACTTATCTTTCATACTTTGGAAGAGGGAAGACAGCAGAAATTGGGAGGATCATTTTCATGTCAACTGGGGAAGGTTAGGAATATCTTTGGTTTTCTCCTAGCCCTAATCTTCTTTTGAGATTGTTGATAATTCTTACATTTTCAGATCTAAACTGCTGGGGTTTTTTTCACATTAAGCCCTATCAAAAATATATTTAAAGCTATAAAGAGAACTTGTATTTTCTATCCATTCTTGTGTGATCCCACCACCACCCAAGTACAGAGATATAATTAAGAGCCTTTTTCACCATTTCTGAATATCAGCAAAGATTTTCACTACATTCAGGTATCACTGAATAAACCAAATAAAACCAGAAAGTTTCAAAAGAAAAGACTTCCATCTACTCACATACCCTTCCTTCAGCAGGCTCCAATGAAGAGAAAAGGAATGCTACTAAGACCCTGTTTCATCACTATGCAAGGAAAGAAAATGCATCCTTTTGATAATTTTGTAGTTGTTGTTACTAGTAACAACTTTACAGTTTGGGGATTATTATTTTTTTAATTATTATTAAAACCAGACAAACAAAATCACTCCTCATCAGCAAGACAAGAAAGATGCCTCTTTAGCACTCCCTCCCCATGTGAGCAGTGCGCGTGTTTACAAGCAACTGCTGAGCAGGGCCTCCATCCCCAAACGAACAGTGTCTTTTAGTAACTTCCTCCAAAACAGTTCTCCTTATCAGGGGAAATTTTGACAAGACATGCACTGTCACCATGGAACTTCAAAACCCCAGAGGGGTACTGTGCACCCCTCCCAAGGACATCCAAATGCAATTAGGACCAAAAGCAGAAATTCAAACTATCCTTATCAATCCACAGCTATGGATAATTCAGTTTGCAGTGAAGATTATTAGAATGCAAATGGTCCATATAAGCTCAAACTTACTAAGCAATCAAAGCTAAGCTGTCTGTGCAAATCTTTCTACTCCATGCATTTTTGCAGAGCTACAGTGATTTCTGACAAAGTTTCCACATTTTCTTCTGAATCACTTATAAATACCTTGATTTCAACTAGGCCAAGAACAGATTGTAGAAGTTGCCAAAAACATTTCTGAGACCAGATTCCTCAAACTTAATTTTCCTTCCTCTTGTGTTTTTTTGGTAGTTTTGCTAGTTGGACATACTCACACTATGTGTTTTTCAGCCAGTATTCTGGGCCTTGCAAACAATAGTCATGCCAACAAATGCCACTCAAATTTTATTACCACAAACCACAGTGAACAATACAAGAGAAATAATGTAAATTAAGATATATTTAAAGCCTGCTTAAAGAGCAAACTAAATTATATAGTAATAATGCATGAACTTCCCCTTCTCTTGATAGTAGCAGCACAAAACAAAGATTTCTCATTTTAACTATAAAGTTATATATGGCAAAATATTAAAACTGAAAAGTATGAGTTCTTGCTCCCTTACAGCTTTAGGAACTACAGACACCTGACACCTGGTAGCATGTACAGCAACATGGACTCATCTGACTAGCCTCTGAAGAAGCTACACACATGCAGAACTTCCTATGCATTTCTGCAAGACCTTTTGCAAGAGCCAAGTTAAGCTCATGCAGTGCTTATTTAGTGCCATGATGAAGTATTTAAGTAGCAAGTACCAATTTAACTGTTTAACATAAAACAGTAACCATAACCTTCTAATTGACCAATCATTACAAACGTCTATGAATTCTCAGAAGCTTTGAATTACACATTTTTTTAAGCCTTAGTAGGCCTGGAAAAGTATTTGTTCAATTCCGCAAGAGCAGGCCACACTTTGAGAAGAACAGGATATCGGGTTCTTTTACTGCCCACAATACAAGCAAAGGTCAGACAAGAGAATGAGTAAAAAAAGTGCTATATCCCAAACACTTCAGGCAACAGATTTGGGGAAAGGGACTTAAAGGAAGATTGTGGAGAATTTAGACACTGATCATTAGCAATACATAGTGCAACACAGCCTCCTACATGACAGCCACAGCTGAGGAAAACAAAAAGGAAAGGTAAATTTGAGCATGGAAGTAAATACATATTATACAATAAAATAACATCCACCACATACTGTCTCTGTCTGTAGGTCCCTGCATTCCCTTTAGTCACTTCTTTCTGACCTGTCAGTCTTTATCCTCTGTCTTTCACTGATGGGCATCTCTCCAAACCAACCATGGGCAAGATACATTGCCATCACTAGCACACACAAAGGATCTCAGGAGTAGAAAGCAGTTCCTCTATAAAAATGATTTGAAAATCACAAACCAAAACAAGTCTACCATGATCAGAGTCACTGTAACTTTCACCTTCACCCACAAGGATTCCCTCCACACTTACTGCTTGAGGAAGACATGCTAGCACACTTTAGCTCCTTAAGCCTTGCCAAAAAGCTAGGCAAAAATAATTGTGTGTGCATGTTTCTTCCTGAGTGTAGGATGGGGATGAGGAGTAATCATAATACAATTTAGTCATAATTAAGTTAGATGGCATCTGTAAGGCTCTGGAACACAGGAGTGTCCATTTTACTTCACTCTATCATCTTGAGAAAACTCACACATTACAACCCACACATCCAAGTATGCTTGCCCCAGTTTCTAAAAGCCCCTTTTTACAGCCAAACATTCGAGCCACTTTCAGAACCACAGTACCTAAGAAGCCTGCCCACAGACAGTTCTGTTTCTGTACCAGTTGTCAGCTCTACTTATAGAAGCAAATATCTTCTGATGCCACAGAGCAGACCTCTCCATACAGAAATGGCTGTTTAATAAATTTGATCTGCCTCACAATCCCTGATTGAAAAGGAACAGTTTTCTCAACAGGGGATGCCCTGGGGTCAGTTATAACGTGGTGACTGAAAAAACATCCCATCCAGTCGTCCTAGGGTGATTTTCAGTCAAGCACTGAAGTTGTGTATAAGGCAGAGGGCACAGAAAATCAGAAGGCAAATCAAACAGATCCATTTAGTGTTGGCAAAAAAACAAACAACATTGCTGACAGATTTGCTCTGTTTTGCCCTAAGACAAGGTACATGCCTTCATGGGCTTTTGTTCTAAACAGCCAATAAAAAGGTATCCTTACAAATATTCTTGTAGCATCCAGTAACACAGTATCAGTAAGGGAAGAATCAAAAATATGCCTATTAAAATTAGAACTAGTGTGTTGAAAAAGTTTCTTATTCACAGTACAACAACTTATTATAGCAACTTATTTTGTTACTATTACTCAATTGTCATTCAAAGCATTTAGAAATTCTAGAAAACATTAACATGCTTCTATAAACTCAGGTCCTCTCTCACTCCTGCTACAACATCTGATCTGTATATTTGTCCTCTTACAAACTGCTTTACTAGCTCAAAATGCAGTAAACACTTTCAGATAAGCACTTCCAGTCCTTCAAAATTTTGGATACATATTTTAAAAAAAAACAAAAAAATGTAAACTACCTAAAATTTAGCTCAAATTTGGTTCAATACTTCCAAGGAATCCTTATCAAAAGGTAAGATGAGAAGAGAGTTTTATAGTTGAAGATGCAAAAAGATGTAATTCTTCTTACCAGAACAGAAGTGGCTGTAGAGAAGAGCACAGTCCAAAAATATCAAAAGGAAGAAAAAACAAGTAAAAAAAAAACAAACCACAAAAAAATCAAAATCAAGCTTCCTCCTACAGTCATTGCTGAGGTGACCCTGACCATTTTGGAAGAGGATACATTGGAGGACACAGCCTAGAGAAGTAACTCAGGTACACGTACACAGAACTGGCACTTTTGTGCAATTGTAAATGAGGGAAGAAGTGCTGTGTCAGCATGCAAGATGACAGCTTCTATCTGCAGTGGCCTGCACCACCCCAAAATAAACCATGAACACGTCTGAAAACAGTAATGCTACATTAGGTTTCTTATTCAGCTTTAGCACCGACCATAAGCAATCTTCCTGGCCACAGAAGTTATAACATCCTCCCACAGCAGGCATCCTACTGTAAACCTGAAATTATTGTCTCTCAACCTGAAGACATTCAACAATCTGAGGGAGCCAAGAGCAAAACTTACTGCTTAACATGAATCAGATGCCTTTGCATGTTTTCATTTGCTCTCCTACATTCACAGCCGGAAGATTCAAGTGATATGAGATGTGAAAAGTAAAAGGACCTATAGCTTGCCATTTTTTTACTACAGAGGGTTTAAGTCAATCATGTTTACAAGTACCTTAAAGTACTTTCTGTTTTTATTAGAGGGCCCTAAAAGTTCAATATTTTGCAAATAGGTGACACCAACAGTAGTTACTTCAAGTAGAAAGAACCCTGTCCTTGCTGAGGGCAAGCTTTCCCCTCCAACTGCTCTGGGCACCAAGATTAAACGTATACTTCAGTATCATCAGAGAGTAAAAGAAGACAGGCAACTGTAGCTCCTATGAGAAACCACTAGTCTGAAATGTGGTTCTCAGGCTACTCATCCTTTAATAGTAGACACCTAATCTTTCTATAAACAAAATATTTTTGGTCAGTTTTAGAGACTTAATTATGTCTCCTCAATCAACAGCAAAGATACACAATCCTGCTCTGGGATATTTATTGCTAGTCATGTAGTTGCGCAACACTTACTTTGCTTATATAGTAGCTAAGCACTCAGTGCTGCAGAGTATTGGCCACTCCTGCTGCACTAAGTGCTCCTCATATTTGTTGCTTAATCTTTTCCTTTTGAAAGCACTGCCTCACAAAGCTCCCATGCCTCAAAATGATGGAGCCTGAGCCTATACCCATGTACATATTATTCTACACTTTCTCAACTCTCAGTCTGAGAGCAAATATCAGGCTTGACAGTTTGCTGGCCAGTCAAAATTTGGCTGCTCTAGCTGAACACCCAGGCACTAAAGAAACAGTTAAATTTTCAGGACTCAACTTTGTCACAGGAAAAAGCAAACAGCTATCAATAAGACCCTCTCTCACCAGGCTGGAAATAAAGCTAAGAGATGGCCATGACACAAAAGGCAAGAGCTCATTTACTAGCAGGAGCAGGAGACAGTCACATATATCGAACATCCATGCTCACACACCTTAATATGGGTATGTAGCAGGAACCAGGGGAATAGATTAGAAAGAGAAGGATGGAATGAGACTGTGCAAACACAGTTCCATTTTGTATAAAGCTCACATTTAGTTATTCACCATGAAATCAAACTGTTGCAGGGGTAGCAGCATTCTGTGGCACCAGAAAGGAAAGCATCTAAGGATGATGCAAGTAATGTGGTGGTCTCTTCTACAAGAATTTAACAGTATTTGCATCTGCAGTGAGCTGTACTGAGTTTTTTGTTGTCTTTGTTTTATTTTAAGGAAGACAACATAGCTTCTTTTCCTTAAGCTTTTCTTCCTAACATTCAGTAACATGCTAGATTCATTACCACATTAGGAAAAACGTCTCCACGTACTTCAGGAAAAATGAGACTTCAGAGGAAGATTTTAGCCTATACAGTTTTCTTAAAGTCTTCCGTAAGAGACTGAGCCAGAAAATTTTTTAGCACGTGAAAACCCCAGCAGAATAACTCAAAGAGATTAGAAATCTGCCATAAATTTGTGTGAACTATAATTAAATTGCATTTTATGTCTCAGTTGGACATACTGTTCCGCATGTGTCAAGCAAAAAAGGTCATCTTTTTCTTAAGGCACAATGTGAATAATTACTGGCTCTTCAATAAATTGTTTAGTCACAATAACCCCCACAATGGCTAACATAGCCAGCAATGGTAATCAACTCTTAAATGACATACAAGGCTACCATAGGACTAAACTAATACTAAAAGTCAATACCTTAACACAAAACTTCAGTGCACCAGCTAGTGGAATTTCTGTTGGAATTTTTTTAATACAGGTAGAAAGTCAAGAGCCCACAAAAATGCACAACTAACTTCACCATAGAATAAGTGAAACCAAATCTACTTTGGCAGAAAAATCAGCAAGAAACTTTTTATATCTATTTTGTAATAACAGTAACTTGTAGCTTCAGAAAAACATAGTCTGTTCAGGGTTTAAATTAGTAGGATTGTTAATTAGATAAATTCAAGTGAGACAGAGGAAAGTGAGACAATAATTAATTGTAGGAACCTAAACCATATAAAAATATTCCCCAAATCAATTCTTGTCACAACAAAGACCAATGGCAGCAAAACAGAAATAAAGGTTTAGCAAGACTGATTCTTCATAATGTCCTGAGAGTTACCTTCCTTGTTTTATTACTTTATGAAACACCCTTTCCACTAAATTAACTTTTATCTGAGAAATATTAGTATCTCTTTCTATATTGCACACTTGAGCAAAAAACAGCACCTATTCTTCCTTTTGCCTTAGCTTGATACAAGCAGTTTATCCTACAGGAGTGCATATCTAGTTCCATTTTAGAATGCAAGCAAAAGGCGTATGAGTGTTGACCTTATATTTTCAGAAGCTTGAGCAGGGACCCCAAACTCTTCACACTGACCAAAGATACTTTTTTTCCCACCTCACGGTATACTGATTTTTTGGTTTTGCATTTTTCATTACACTTTAATCACTTTTAAAACTGATTCCTTTGTGTTGCAAGGAGCTAGAAAAGGATTTTTTTTTTACCTGACAGATTGCATGAGAGCCTGAACACAAGATCTTTTATCTTTGTTTACAAACAAATTAGTTTACATTGTCCATTGCTTTTGATTTTGCTTTGATATACCTTAAGTATGTCTGCCCAAGCAAAAATTTGGTCTGTGATTTTGCCATCAATATAATCTCCTGAAGATACACCACAGCATCAGTACATTTTGACAAACATAAAAGCAGTATATATAATAAATGTAGATACAAACATAAGATGCATGTGCATTTTAGAAGGGAGCAGTTGCTAAAACACTGTTGGATTTAAGAGCACCCTGTCTTGCAACAAAAAACATAATACAATAGAGAGTCAAATTAAAGTCTGACTGACAATTATGCTGTATCATTTCTGCTTGTCTGTTTTGAAATTTTTTTTTCCTGCTTGTCTGTTTTGAAATTAGAACAGACTGAGACGATGAAGAATGGACTGTACAAAAGACAAAGCAAAATTCTCAGCAAAGGAATTTGTAATGCCAAAAATCCTAGTTGCAGCAAGCTCTGAAAATGAATGCATCATAGATATGACCTTTCTCATGATCCATCAGCTTAGATGAAGATGGGGAGGGAGAATAATCACACCATGGGAGTTTCTGGAAGAATCAGACAAATTAAACAGAACTGAAATACTAAAGGCACAGCATTCCTAAATTCTGTCAAAAAATCCCACACACACTGATTGTATATGCATGTTGAGAGTTCAAACAGCTTTTCAAAATTAAAGAAAAAAAAGTGACTTAAAAAAATGGAATCTTACCTTTCTGCCTCTTCACTTGGGGAATATTGCTGATTGTGGTTGCCTGAACTATTTCCACTACAATCTGATACCTAGTTTTAAAAACAGTAGGGGATAAGAGTCAGGGAGGAGAGAAGAAAAAAACATGGTGTTAATTTTTTACAATGTGTTCTTCATATAGCATACTTAAGAATTAATACAAAACAAAACACTTCTGCCTCCTCCTCACATGGAAACAGAGTCATTTCTCAGTATATCTACAATCTAAGGGGCAGCATACATGTGGAGTGGAGTAAGAAAAAAAGGCTACCTTGGAACAAAAGGAAAACATCCAACTAAGTAATACTGCCCCCTTTTCTCAACAGCTAGCACTGCACAGCCAGTTGATATTCAGTGAACTCAATGTAATGTCATGCTCTTAACATTAAATATAAGCCTTCTGCAGGAAACTAGGATGGAAGTTCAGCTCAACAGCAAAGACCTGCCTGTAACCTACTTATAGCTAATGCAATCAATACAAACATGGAGCATATATAACTTAGGAGAAGAAAAAAAAAAAGTATCACGCTAAAAAAAGTAAAACACTAAAGTACCAAATTCCAGGAAGAATTAAAACCTGTTTATCACCTAAAACAATACTACACCTAATGGAAGACAGCTTATGCAGTTAGTAAGCTGAATTTTAAGTAAACCAAATCTTATCACTAGTAGATACCATGCACTCAGCAAAGAAAATTACTGTCTGTTAAATCTTTCATAAACATCAAAGTTCTGGGCATAACAAACACTCAGATTCCTCTCAGTGCTCTTACTTTGGCAGTTATTAATACAAGCAATAAAGCAACTATTCTAGTGAATTTAGCTCATTCCTGCACGAGTTCCCTAACCTCATCTATCAAGTTTATTCCTAGACGGAGGCTGAAGCCTCCTGGAAAGACTAGTATTACCATGAGTTACTCTCTGGTTAAGAGGGAGTCTATGACTGTTTAAAATATATTCCCCTTCTTCCATATATGCTGCTTTCACCAACAAACAGTAATTAATTCCCCCATTCCTCTTGCCTCCTATAACTCCTTCAGGATTTTGATTTGCATCTGCCTCTGTACAGACATAGTTTTACACACACAACATACACCCACAAATACACTTCCAGAGTTTATATTGCTTTTTTTTCTGCAGTAATCTTTGCTCTACTCAACTCCTTCAACTACCATGTTGACACCTGAGAACCTGTTTGCAAAGCTTTAATTTTTAAAACTCTATTTCCTTTTGCCATTACTGTATCTTGGTTGCTTCCATCCACCACCACAGCTCTTGCCCAGTCCTTTAGAGAAAGTACAGTACCATAGTGAGGGTGGTATTTTGGTGTACAGGACTCCCACAGTTAATTCCCAAATTATTCTGGGCAGCTCGCTTGGACTTTGGGTCAACAACACCCATTCACTTCTCTCAGGTTTTGTAAGGTAACTGTGAACATTATAAATTTCTCAAACAAGGTACAGGCAATCAAGTAAATACTGCAGATGGAAGGTATTTTCCACCATGCAACTTTTTCCTTCCAAATTGACTCCCATTTTTTTTATGTTCAGGCTCTACATGTTTTCATTATCAATATTGTAAAATACAACATCTCTTTTTTTTTTTCTTCCTCCTCATATTACCTTAAGAAAGACAGATGCTCCGAGTTACATCCTCAAGGATACTATTTAATCCATTCCTAAGTACTAGGCTCTGCCTGTAACTACTCAATGAGAGTTCTGTACAACACTGCACCAAAGAAACACCACCTTGGCTACACTACCAGACCATGACCCAGTCTCCCTGAAAGTCTGTTCCAAATATTCTGTGGTGCTGGAGAGTAAACATATAAGGAAGTTTGAAGTGTGATTTATTAATTTTAGTTTCAAGAAGTGAACTGTAATTGATAAACTGGACCAATCATGGGCTCACATCCCCATTACTTCTGCCTTCCCACTCTTACCTCTTCCCTGTTCTTTGTTATATGCATCTCTTTCCCTCATTTCTTAAGTGAAAGATGACACAGCCAGTGATAATAGTCTTTCTTACCATGAATTGTGTAGTGACCTTTTGCTGCTATAGTAATAAATAACAGAATAAACATAATGCTGATACTGAAAGCAGAATTTAAACTATCCATCAGTTTATTTCCTTATCACTATTTATTCTCAGCGATGTTTTCAACTCATCACACCTTTTATTTCCAGTCTTCTGACAGAGCAAATTTCTTCCACATCTGATGTGGAAGAAATACACTTTCCCACTTTCCTTCCTTATTTATCTACTTCAAATTTATCCACACTAACTTAATTCTGAGGGGAAACAAAGGTGAAATTTCTCTGTTCAATGTTTTCTGCTCAAAAGAAACAGAGACAACACGTTTTGTGGAAGCCTGATAAAGCAGGAATAAAACTGTGCCTCCCTTCATGACAAGCAATAATAAAGGTAAACACTATAACCTTGAAGGATGCGACTTCACATTTGTGATGTAAAGAATGTTCACAGATAACCACACAATGGTCCGTATTCTGGAAGTTTTGTTGGTTTGGGTTTTTTTCCTACCCAAACAAAACCAGATTTTCAAAAAAGAAAGGTACGAAAGGGAAAAACAAACAAAAAACCAAACCAAACAAACAAAATAAAAAAAACCACAACCAAAACAGCTCCTCAGAAATCAACAAATTACTTTTTATGAACACAAACATAAGCTCCCCAAATGTTCCTTATAAAAATGAAAGGGATTGTTCCAAAAGGCAACAGAGAGAAGTTCTGCTAAGAGATAAAGTGACCAAATGTTAGAGGCTCACCATAGACATTAATGAACCATTAATTCAAAAGAATCTCCGAAATTAATAAGTAGTTCCCGCATAATTTAAGTAAGTTCTAAAAATAAAGTCCATAAAAACAATGCAGAAATTTAATACACTATTTCTTCTTACAGTAGTGCTTCTATGCAGGGAGAGAAAAAAGATTCAGGAAATCCTAGTACATACTACCCTTTCAGGGAGAGCTATTTGCAAAGCAGAAAGCTGGTACACAGGCTTACAAGGAGATCCAACATACACAGCCCTCCTACTCTTTTCTGATTTCCTGGCCAACAGCAACAACACCCTTCACCCACAGGTTTCCACTGATCCAGCCAGGGATCTTTCCCTACTTAACCCAGAGCAAATGCCTGGTTCTAATCACAAGGAAGCATAGCAAAACTTTACTAATGAAATCAGCCTGGAAAAATGCCTTATAGGACTTCTCTCCTGTAACATCATGCGAGTACATCAAGGAGCATCCAGGAGTCCAAGCTTTCTTAACTAGAGTCCTACAGAGGAATTGTTTAACAGTGCTTCATAGCCTCTTTCATTGAGCAATCTATTTCATGTTTATTTTAGTAAGTAGATAGTAATTAATCTGCAAAGATAAAGCATGGCAAGGATGTTTCAAAGAAAGCCAAAAAAATCCAGTTTCCCAGCAACTGTAGTGCCTTGGGATAAATCTCCCTCAAAGCTAAGCCTACACAGAAAATTGTTACTACTTTTATCTGTGCTTTACCAAGATGTTACATGGCAACGCTAGGAGTAATAGGAGGCTTAGAGTTCACAAATGCCATGCACTGGGTTAGAACAGGCACTGAAAAACTATTTCCAAATAAATACAAGAAAAAGAATGTTTGATAAACAGAATATTATTGCCCACAATAGCATCTAACTGGGAAACATTTAAGTACAACATAACAGTAATTTATCTGTTGTAGGAAATAAGTGAAAGCATTCTCTCCATTCTCTTGTCATTCCAACAGACTCTAAACATGTTCCTCAGTGGTAACTGAACAATGGCTTACTTGCTTCCTCTTCTTTAATACCTTTCTTGCAGATTTTTCTGTGTTTCAGTGTTGTAATTTTAAACCTGAAATATCATTTAGCTTGCTCACCTAAAATATCTCCCTTTTTATCCCCATTCATATAGGAACCACTGTTTGGTCTCCTTGGCATAAATCTGTAAACTTCCACTGCTACATGATGAAAGCTTTGCAAACTATACTACTGAGCTTCAACTATAGGTAAGACTCATCTCACTCCAGGTGCTCCCACTGTCCTGAAGAACACACTGAACAGGAACCCTCCTCTAACAAGGGAACACTGTAAAAACAACTACCCAGAAACTGGGTCTACACAACCAGAGGAAGGATGAGCACTGCTTCTAAAATCAAGTACTGTTTCTGTTTGAAAAGAAGATACTTTTTCTCAGACTTTTCAAATACTGATCAGCTCAGACTGATCAACATTATGTAGGGTGTAGAGGAACACATCCCAAGACGACAGTAATTGGACTCTAGGAGCTAGAAAGAAAAAACCTAAGTGCAGCAAACATAACATTATTTCATAAAGCAAATTTGCTATCTGATATCAGAGAACACACTTTAAAGTGACCTATCAGCTAAAAAGAGTGCACACTGAGCATTAATGTGCCTGAACAACAACAACAGAAGAGCTGGGTTTCTTTTGAAACAAGCAGATCCATTAGTGTGATTATGCTAATAAATATGTTGTCAATTAGGCTTTAGATAGAGCCTAACAGAGACTGATTTCTGCTCTCAGGAAAGGCACACTGGCCAACAGTAAAGAGCAAATTTTACTGCCGATGAGCAGTAAGTAGCCAGGCAACAAAATCATTTCACTGTCACCTAAATGCATTTTCGTATCTCAGAAATGCAAGGGTTTTCAGAATCAAAGAGAACAAAAGAAAGTTAGATGTTATTTATGCAGCCCACATAATCCATCTTCATAAACCATCACTTGGCCTGATGAAGCCAAGTCTAGCAGAAGGTCTGGGTCACGACAGATGACACAGTGCCTCAAATGGGATCAATGTGCTTCTGTCTTTTCAGCTTTTGCTGCATTCTCTTCCATTTAGGAAGAGAAAAAGTTGAGCTGCAGCAGCAATTGAAGTGAGTCAGGGAAGAAGAAAAAATACCAGTTTTGGTTGGTGAAAAATAATTACGACAAACACTCCAAAGCTTTGGTGTGCTCAACAAAACCAACTCAGGACATCTAGGAAGATCCTATAACAGTGGCACCTCTGCTCCCTGCTTCCCAGTCACTTGTTCCTTATCCTTTCACTTACACCAGCAATCAGACGAGAAACAGCTCTGATAAAAAGATAAGACAAGCATAAATATCTTGTGCTTTGGCAGGCAGGCTTGAGATGCAAGCAGTAGCTCAGGTCATGATGAAAGATTGAAGGAAATAAGATATGAGACTGGGGGGGATTATTATCAAAGCAAGCAGGGGTTATTTGCATTAGAAAACAGGAACATCAAACAAACTAATGATATGTAAGAGCTCCGTGGGATTTTTTTTTTGTCTTGAAAGAATTCTTCAGAGTTCATTAACATGTTTAAGAAGGATGCAATTGGGAAAAACCTCCCTGCAACAGTCCGGGACACCTCTGATCCAGTGGTAAAATGTGATGGTACTCAAACCCCTCTTTCCGTGTCTTTCCATTCCATCACAGCAAGTTTCCCTGAACATCCAGTGTCTGTAAAGTCACTATGGTTCATGGTCACCAGACCACATGGCCAACCATACTTCATAAAGATAATGAGGAGCTAACCACATGCTAGTGGAAATTCAACATACTATTTTATCTAACTCCCTGAGGCAAGATATAAATAAGGGTCTGGTATGCCTTTCAACATTACAATCATCTCCAATGTACTACAAAGCAGAATTTTTTAACATATTCTGCCATCAAACTAAAAAGCTGACTATATTAGAGATTTAATTCATGTTGTGGCTTATCATCCTTACTGCCTCTGCTTCATCAAAAGAAAGATAAATGTAAAATTGAACTTAAAAAGAAAAATCAAAATTAATTTTAATCTCAGTAGCAGGCTGGCAAAAGAACCATGTTTAGTTTTGAATGAGCTACAGTGAAACATTAAATACCTCAGTTGTTTCAGGAACTCAACATCAGAGCTGCTGTTAATGAGCTTGATGAACTCTTCATAAGAAGGAGCATATGTGTAGTCTTTCTTCTGATGCTCATTCATCTGTTCTCTGTACTCCAGCTGGCTGAGCAGCATTTGGTTAATATAATCTGGATCACTCAGCAATTCCACCACTGGTTTCAGTACTGGAGAGGAAAAACATTTTAAAACAAAATCCTTACACTGAAGAGTTACTGCTGTCCTTTAGAAGAAAATTGTAAATAAAAGGCAAAAGTAAATATGCAACTTGATAAAAATCCAAAATCAGTCTTCTGGACTAAATAGTACATTTGAGATCGGATCTACCTTCTTGATATGACCCTTTGTTTATTCTATTATACAAATTGATGTACATTAACAAAGCTGAGCTCTATCTGGAAAATTCAAGTTTTTTTCTTCTTTCTGCTGTGTGCCTTGAAGGCTATGACATTACAGACACTATAAACGAAAACTGAAATTAAACTCAAGCACGATACACCTGAGACTTCATAAATTCTGCATTTGACTTCAACAACATAGAAAATGAACAGTGAATTTATAATCAGATGAAAGTGTAGCTGATAAAATAAAAAGCAAAATGGAAAACCCTCAATTAAAAAACTACGCTGGATAAATTGAAGTCTAAAAGAATTAATTAAATCTAGTACCATGATTCAGTTATAATCACATCCTTAAGTCTATAGATTCCACATATCTGAATAAAACAGAAAGGGCAGAATTATTCATATAATCACTAAAAATAATGCTGTGGAAGACTGAAAAGTGCTTCTCTATGAAAAACAAAACAAAACCAAAACTAAACTAAAAACAAACTGAAAAAAAAAAACAAATTAAATGGACAAACGGTGTTTTATCCTGAAAGGTGCTAAACAATCTGGCATCAAGACAGGACAGTCAAGTAAGTATATGCTTCATTTTGAGAATATAAAGTGTCTTACTGGTTATCACAGAAACTCAATTTCAGAATTTAAAAGCAGAGCATCAAGACATACATAATTAAGTCTGGAATTACTAATATTGTACAGGTGCAAATGGTTAATCATCTCTGATCTTTGATCTACCTTTTGTTGCAAGGATTTCTGCAAGGACTATGCGCAAGCTGACAGAGTGGACATCCTTTGAGGATAGGAGACAACACACCAGAATTTGAGAACATTTTTGCAGGAATCTTACTTCTTCATCAGAGCTCCTCAGGCATGGGTGCAGCAAAAAAGGTCTCAGTGGATCTTCCTGCCTACAAAGAAAAAAAAAGAAAGGAAAAAAGAAAAAGAACTTACATACCACTTGCATCACCATTAGTCGCTAATTGATAAAATACCTGATAATGGATTTTGGATAAGTAATTTCAGTAAAGAAACACTTTTAGCCATGTATATTTTTTTAAATCCTGCTAATTTTTCTTAATGATGTTAAGATACGTTTCCAAATTCCTTTGTCCTGTCAATGTTTTCACCTGCCAAAATAGAAATACTCTTGCCATGTTCAGCATGTGCAACCCCGTCTTTGGGACAATACACCTGTGGGCACCATGATCACCCCAGAGGGAGTTAGAGGCCCTGGAATTTAGGCTCTGGTGAGAATGATAGGTCTGAATCTGCATCTTCTAAGGCCCATCCAAGTTACCTCTCTGCCAGATCACTGATTTGGTGAGTCACCTCATGGCCAAATCAAGTAACAACATTTGCTTGGACCAGAGCACCTCAGTTACACAGAGCTCAGAGAACCAATCAGAGAAGAGACAAGAGAACTTGCCTCAACCTGAGTCCTCTGATCAGCAGGCTGAAGCTGGAAAATGCCCACGTTATATACAAACAAATCAACAAAGATAAAAAAAAAATTAACTAAGGAACAAAGTCATAATTTTCTTCCATCATCCTAAATGCTTTGGAGTCAGGGTCCATCTTGCTTGCCTTCAGGGGAGTCAGATCCTTGCCTTTGGCTAATTCTGGTTCAGCTTCCAGAAGAAGTAGGAGAATACTCTCAGCCAGCATCACTCTCAGCCTGCTGGGGATGGCATTCACTACCATCCACTCCCTAACTATAAGTGTTATGCAAGCCAGATGCCAATGGATGGAGAAAATCCAAGATTTCTTGCTGTTTTCACTGTGCCCTTGATGAAAGAATAAGGCTCCTAACTTATACTAAGTACATGGCCACAGTCAGAACAGGTATAGTGCTATACTATATAGTCACATATTATACTAATATACTCCTTTTCCTGCCAACAAACGGGCAAATAGGTCCTCTATGCTCCTGGTAATCATGGTTGGTACATTTTGGGAAGATGACAAGAGAGAGTACTTCAGAGCTAACAATGAAGTGGTGGTTATGCCTCTGCTGCAGCACAAAGCACTGAGTGGGTGCTGTGCACCACTGAACATGCACAGCAACATGCTGTTGGATGAGCAAGCCCATGATAGCAGAGTCTGTGTTGTTTGCAGACCTCCCACAAGCTGATCTTCTGATCACAGCTCTGAAAAAAACAGGGAGCAAACTTCCCCATCTTAATTTTATGCCCAGTACTGACCAGTTCATCTCCTCACAGGTGCTAAGGGTTTTCTGCATTTCTCAGAATGTGACTGACTGGATGTGCCAAAGGAATTCCTCAGCACAGGCCACAGCAGCATCTTTTCTTTATACAAAAACAGCTGTAGAATCAGAGACAAGGTGCCCCAGCAGTTCCTTCATGGCAACGTGCCTGATGTGATCCAATCACAGATAGACAGTTTAACAGCAAGGTGACCATGTCAGTGGCTACAGCAAGATAGACACAGTGACACTTCAGAGGAACCATGGTCAGTTCCAAAGGCAGCCCGGGCTGGTGTTCAGCATAAGGCTCAGAAGTCTTACAAAGGCTCAGATCTGTCATATCTCAAACCAATGCTTCTTCCCATTGTCTATAATGCCTGCTTCCTTCTCAGAGCTGGAAAATGCTGTCCTGGTTAGAGTCAACTGGTTATTGCTCACAGAGCTGCTCCAAGCCCACCGCCTCTGTACATGAAGAAGTGACCAAGAACTGCATACAGTCAAACCAGAAGTTTTGATTTAGGCAGTGCTATATGGCCATAGTGACAGGCAGCGTTTTGTAACAACTGATTTTTGCTAGTCAGGCAGGAGCAAATAAGTTGGAATAGTCACAATACTCTAATAACAGCTTTAATTCTGTTCTAATAATAAAAGTAATTTGTTTCAGGGTGATCAAAATTAGTTTTTTATTTAATTTCCAGAACAACAGAAAGGTAAAGTCAACATTTATTTTCAACTTGACTGATGCATCTTATTCAATCCCAAAAAAAGTGTTTTGTTTTCAAATGTGGAAGAAGGATTAAATTGTTACAAGTTAGACAAATTTCAAAACAAGTCCCTTGGAACAGTTTGGATGTAAATATTCTTTTCTTCTAAGAAGCAGTGGTTTATGAAGATGATGTGCAGTCTTCATTATCCACCAGCACAGGTGCTGCAGCTGACTGAGCTCAGAAAACTGTTTATCCTGTTCAGGTAAGATCTCTCCTCTCTGGTAGCTGAATATCCAGCTATTTTCCTCAGAAATTTCCATTCCTCTTGCATACTGCAGACATATTCTACAGCCTTCTCTGCACTGCATCAAACATTCCCCACCACAGTCTCTCCCTAAAGGCATTAATTATTTCTCCAAAACCAGACACGTCCCAGGCAGACTACCAGCAGACAGAAAGTCTGGGTCATTTATGTACAGTCACCTCTTACTGGGGAAGTAAAGTCCTCCTTTTCTGGACAGGTTGGTCAACCCAAAGTCAGCTGCTTAGAAACACAGCCAGAAGCACATACAAAATGCTGGCAAACATAATGACTTACACAGAACATCAGCTGGCTAGCAGCAAACTAACCTCTCCTAACAACTGATTCCTCTGTATTAACAAGGATACAGAGTTAGAATTAAAAGCAAGAGGTGATTGGTTTTTTGCCTGTGAACACACAGACCCCATCCCTTTTGCATGCTCTTACCTTATTTGTGTAGTGATTAGATCAAGCTATACTTTCATAACATGTGCAAAGCACAGAAAAGAGCCATAATGCATATAAATTTCACTAAGCTAAAATTAGTCTTGGCCTTCAATACCTCTCTGTAAGTCTCCTAAGGAGTGCCCGTCTGTTTGGGACTGCAAACACCCTGGAGCATTAACTGCACCTATATTATCATCCCTGCAAGAGAAGTAATTTCTCGTCATCTTTGTGTCCCTATTGTACAAATTCATTCCCAAGTAAACAGCCAATACATACAGCTTGGCTGAACTGGACCTATGCCAGGACTTTTCTGATACAAGGTCAACAGAACACAAACAGAAAATGGAATAGAACAAACAAGTATAAAGCAAATATTTGATTCTTACCCTTCTGATTTGTCTAATGTGTTCCTGCCTACAGGAATGCAAGGGGGGAGTGGAGTTGCATACTCTCCAGTTGACAGACCATTTAAGAAGTTTCCGTTTTTTCTGGAATTGTCTCCTTTACCTAAGACCTGACTCTCTAGAAGAAAGTTCCTCCAGTTGCTTTCCTGGCTAAACTGTACCTAAAATGTGATCCAAAAAGTAACAGGGAAGGCACAGAAACCCACCAGATTTTCATTAAAAGAACAGAGAAACAAAATCTTCAGGATATTCAACCCTAAACAAGCCTTGCATATCAGTGCTGAACACTTGTGTCAACAAATCCTGCAGTTTTCATTGCTGTTTGGGCAAGAGAAATAAGATGGCAACCAAGCAGAGGAGGAAGATTGAGGGGGGACTTAACAGCTACAGAACATATTGGTATGCCAGTGGTATAACAGACAAGATATCCAGGTTTATATCCTCCTTTGCATTTATACATGAAGCATTACACTTCCTTTTACCTCAATATAAGCACTGATCAACTTGCAGGGAAAGTATATAATGTGTCAACAAAAGGTCTGGCCAGGAAACAGCACACCTTGTAACTTAGTCTTCCCCTTCAATGATACCCACAAAAAAAGGCAATCATGGAAGTACTAACACCACTGCTCAGGCACCAAACCATGACTATTTACTATTCTGGAGAAGAAGTGAAGATGTCCTGATATTCTTAAGGCTTGATATAAAACCTACATCTTCAGCATCATAGCAATATCATCAAGAGTAAAGAAAAGCACTGTTCATTTTGTAGAGACCAACAGAAAAATTAGAAATTTAACCACAATCTGCATGCATGTAAACAAAGCAGAGTGCTGCTACAACTCTCCAGTGTCAATAAAGATATTAAGCACTGTTTATAAACCCAAATAGTAACATAGGCATTATTTCTCTTCCTATCCAGTTTTGAATATGTGCTATTATGGGACACTTACATTGGATTTTCAAAACAAAAGGTCACTTAGTAATCACAGAAAACTCAACTAAAACTGTGTGCAGCTATTTCTAGAAAAAGCTTTGAAAGGCCAGCTAATTATCCATAAATTCTGAGCACAAGTGTGTGCAGTGAACTAATACAAATGTGGCTCTCTAGTAAATAGTTCCAAAACAGGCATGACCCAAGCTCTGTAAACCAAGATAATTTAATCTGCTTTAGGCTAGAGAAAAACAATGGCAAGTGGCAACTTAATTAATTTGTGTCTTCTTGAACAAACAAGACTGAAGTAATAGTGACACATATTGGTGTATCAAGATGCAGGTGCTGTCAGTGATTTAGAACAGTAGACAGAACTCAAGCTTTACAAACTATACTTGGAAGTCATATCCCTCTTCACTCCCCTGAGAGCTACAAAGCCAACCTTAACCTTGCCTAATATTCTTTTCTCTAATTTGCATTTAACAAAATTTTTAAGCCTGCTCTGAATTTTAACACCATCCAATGCTATTTCATAGTGTCAGAAAGCAAAGTGATTTCCTTCACCTGCCCCCCAAACCAGTGGAAGATTAAGCAGGGGGCTGTGAATATAGATCCACAGGCAGGGTCTGCCAAAGCAAATTCCTTCGTATCGGGTCTGTTCCAGGCAGTCATTTTCTTTGGGACCAAACTTGCTTTATCCCTTACTGCTTCAAATTTGTGAGTTCATCCAGCCCTTCATAAAGGAAAGCAGAATAGCAGATTTGCTTTAGTATTCCTGAAGACAAGCAGTTAAAACATTATCAATATAATAGAAATACCATCATTTCCTTCCTATGTTAAAACTAAACATTTCTGAGCCAATAACAACATATCTTTAACAAAAATTCCCCATTTCCCAGGAATACAGGACCT